TTCAAACTACTTCATTTATATTTAAATGAATATTAATGTTCATTTAACATTATATTCCTCATTTAAATGAAACGTTTTATACAATGTTTACTTAAGACTTATGGCACAGCAGACGACGCGATGCACATTATATGTATGTAATATCAATCCTGCAATTAAGATGTTAAGATGGTACTTTAAGTAATTTCATTAGCCTAGTTTCAAGGTTACAATAAATTTTCATAAATTTTCTATTACTTAACTTACGAGCGGTTTGTGGCTAAGAGGTAAACGAGTAGGTTAACACATTGCAAAGTTAAACAATCCTCGATAGGTCAGTCTTTGGATGGGTGACCATTCTTAACACATCGAGACCCCTCCGTGCCGTTGGTCTCAGTTGCCAAACGAACATCTGTGGCAATCGTTACTATTAGTTGGAGCTCTAAAAAGTCCAACAACAGTCTTTCTGCAGAACTAATTTCGATATTGTCTAGTAAGTACTTGGGTTGTGTGTGATGGCAGTAACTTCGCGTAAATAATCGAAGATCAGCCATATCGGAGCCATAAGCTGACCATCTTATCAATCGGCAGTTTATGAGGTCAAAAACAGCAAGAAATTTTTTTGTATAGATGGATTGCACATTAATTATTTACTGTTTAAAAAAATATCAGCTGGGATTTAGTCTCAACAACTAGAAGAAAAAACCATAACATGTGTAAAGGATTTTTTTTACATAATTTGTTATTGTGTATGCTGAATAAGTATAAATTTAAAATACGTCCAATTCAAAAATCACTTCAACAAGGGTTAAAAATATTTTCTTGAAACAAAGTTAATAACACTTGAGATCAAGTCAGTTTTGAATCAAAAAAACTGAACTAAATTTGGTCTTTCTGTTTGAGAACTATGTGATGTTACGGACAGACATACAGTTCAGATAAACTGTTTTTCTTTTTGTTTGTATTCTGCATTGTATGTTTCTTAGATCAATAGTGTGCAATAAAGAAACCTATTTAACTATCTACACAAACGTAACACCCCTATTGCACATATAAGCATTCTCACCACTGTCTACAAATATTTTTGTTTGATGTTGGTTCCCAATGATAATGAGAATCTGTTTGCACAACTAAGCCTGTATTGATACAGATATGCTGCTTATTATAATTGCTAGTAGTGTCCCAATGGTCATAATCCGACTGAAATAATAATAAGATCAGATAATTTTGTTACGAACTTAAATACACTTACGAATATTTTTTATTGGCAACACTGAAACTTTTTTCTTTATATTATTAGGGGCAAACAAGCAGATGGGTCACGTGATGGTAAGTGACTACCGCCGCTTATGGAGACTGACAAGTCCAGAGTCAGAAGTGAGTGAATTTTAGACCCAAAGGGGGCACCATTCCGAAAGTCAGGCACCAAATTAGTTGGGCATCCCTGAAATTAACATGTGCAAAATAAATCTTTTATAAATATATATTTAATAAATAAATCTTTAATTAATAAACCTTTAATACATAAATCAATTTTTTCACAATATTAATGCAGATATTTTGCCCAATTAATTGGAATAAAATTATTATTTCAAACAGTGTGTATATTTTTTTTTTTTTACACAACATTGGTCAATTTGCAGATAAAACAGGTTTAAATTAAACATGTTTTTATTTGGAACAGATTGACCAACATTGCCAGGTAAATCATTATATAAAAATTTTAGGCACAGGGCCCAGAAAGAAATTCTTAAATTAAGATATAACATTTTTGCTGTTCTCTCCCTTTTACCCCTTGCCAGTAAAATTCATTTACAAAATATATAACAATTACAGTACAATATTATAAATTACTTAAAAATCAATCATAAATCCTAAAATTATCCATGTACTTTAAATTTATGAATTTCATGAAAATAATCTTATATTTCTTACTTTCACTATCATACCAGCAGTTTAAAAAAAACATAAAAACACTTGTTTTTTTATATATTTTTTAAAATTAGTGTTTTGTCATCGGTCCTCGATATATCTACAAAGTTTGAACTAATTCGGACCACTTAAATACAGTCAAAATCACGCCCAAAGGAGTTGGTTACAAACATACAAGTAAAGCTAATATAAAGGGTGTAAAAAGAAACTTACATTCATAAAAGCAACTCTATGGATTAAGCAATCATAAATTATTGTTACTTAACTTCAAAATAGTGTACAAAAATGATCTAAAACTTTATTAATACCAAAGTTTATGTACGTAGTTTCTTGTTAGAATACCACCTATACACTGTGATATATGTTTAGTGGCAACATCAGGTACCAATATGCTTTCAGAAACCTGAAGGACCTCAATAGCTAATTTCAACTATTTGTATCTCTGTATAATGTGGACAAAGGCATTTTCAGGTATTATTCTTATGTTTTATATCAAAAGACAGTGTTGACATAATATCTCATAATTACAAAATATTTAGAAACGTAAATGAAACGGCATAAAATTACGGCTTATTTAGGAATAGGGTAAAAAATATCCAAATATTATTTTCCAAGGAGGTATTTTCATTTTTATAAAAAGGGGATTAGAGTAGTTTTAAAGACATATTTATTTAACTACCTCTCCCTTTTTTAAATTAAAAAAAAATGAGAATAATTCAATAAAAAAAAATCGGGGCAACAAATACCGGTCGTTCAACACCACCGGGACGATTTCTTATTGAATGTGGGGCATACTACCGGTTGAAGATACCAACAGCTTAGCGTGTCTATATCACAAAGAAAAGCACGCCAAACATGACCTACCTTCATATCCGATACGATCTGCTGATACAGATTCCATAACGGTGAACAATCCTTCTCTGTAGTCCCCTCCATTGTCATATAAACACACAAACACAAAAACACAATCAAATTACACTCGACAATACACCATCGATCGCATCCGTATTTATTAAAAATAACTGTTGCATTTTCATTTATTAAGGGTTTGGGTCACAATATTTATTTTCCCTACATTTCACTTTATGTTTCAAGGCATAATTGAAATGTTAGAAAATACGATATGTAAAACAAATCAATATTTATAAACACCAATGCTCTCTTCGTATATTGGACACGGGAGAAAACGTCTTTTAATCACATAAATACACTAAGAATACATTATGTTTCTAATTATTTTGTAATAAATGACCTAAATGAGTATTAATTCATTCAAGAAACTATGTATTTACACAAGTTTTCATACACAAACATCCGAAGAAATATTGTACGAATCGCGTCTTTATGCACGACAGACAAGCTCATCGGTCGGAATCGGTTTGTTTGGCTCGTTCGAGAACGCTATGCAATTCGTCAATTGTCGTGGGTTGCAAGTCAAAAAAGTATTTCTAATATTTTATATATTGCAATTCGGTAATCGACTAGAATCGTTTATTCCTTAAAGTATGGTTGAGAACTTAGTGATTGCTTATTTCAACAGCAAACATTCTTAACCTGATGTTTTCTTGATTGAATTGAATCGAGAGTACAACAACTACAATTATAGAGAAGTTTCATATACAGTATTCGAAACTTGATACCTTCAAGAGTTTAAGGCAATTCATTGACATCAACCTACAAGGATCTGTTTTTTGATAATTCAGGTAATTCGACAATAATAAACTGTTTTTAAAACAACTTAAGATGAAACGTAAATACTTATAAAAATCTACCTTAATCCTAAAGAAATATAATGGCCTCAATTTGAATTAAGACAGATGAAACTTTTTTATAATACGTAGCACACAACCACTACCCCGATTTACTGGTTCTTAACTGTGATATAGAACAGGCTTTTCGCTGCCACACACCACGCCACACAAAGATTTAAAATTGAAGAAAATTTGTTCTTCCCATTTTGAATATTTTATGGTCGCATTGAAACCTATCTCACTTTATTAAATTGATACAGAAAGAATCGTCAATCAATAAAGCAATCCTCAATAGTCGTCGGTAACACATTTATTTGTATGGTAATTAATAAAGAAGAAAACAGTTGAAAAGACTTACACTGTGTAGAGTCAGATTCCTAGAGTTCTATTGCAAAGGTTTAATTGTCATTTATAATAATATGCTACATAGATTATTTACTTATGTACATTAAGATAAGTATCTGTATGCTGCCCCGATTATGTTGCACATTATGGTTGCATTGATGAGAAATTAGCAACAAAACCAACGCAAAAATAGTTAAAAATAATCTTTAAAGTGTTTTTTTTTGTCAAAATTTCACTTCAATCCGTGCAGGACTTCTTAAGTTTTTAAAGTGTACACAAACCAACTTAACATGTTATTTTATTTATTTTTATATTATTATTATTTATCCATTAATATCCATATTTAGGTATGTAAGATATGTATGTAATGTAAGCTCCGTGCAAGTTAACACCGATACTGTATTTGCTTATGATATTGAAAGGCCTCGTAAATTTTTTGCCATGCTTAATTGAAGTCGATGAAATGTTGTAATAATATAAAAACATTATTTTTCAGCCTGGTGAAAGCGTCACTTTAACTTTTATTTTATATAATAGACAACTCTGCACCAGGAATATATCGCATATTGCGGGGGAATATACAAACATTCATGAAACAGACACAAAGAACACTCAATCTCAGAGCAACAATTTATTGATAAGTCTTGACCCATGTGGGGATCGAACTCACAACTATGATACTCAGCGCAATAGGAAGCGGTGACTGAGGTGACCGTTTAAACTACTATGCCATCCGTGCAGTCAACTTTTAGTACTTTGGTAATCTTTAAACTTCAGCGGTGATTAATTTCTCCGTGACCAAATTACTAAGCTTGAACACAGATCTAGTGAAATTAGTAACTTCAATCTTGACTTCTATTAGATTTTAAGGACGTCACTATGGTTGTCAAAATAAAGAAAGAAAAAATGCTATTAAATCATCAAAAACGTTGTAACAGAAAAATTGCCGTTCGATTTACAATTTTGTGGGAATTATGTTAAATTAGAAGAAATATGTCCAGAGTGGTCAATTACGACGGCGTTAAAGCCGGCTGTATTTACAGGATAGCCCTTGAAAACTTTGTGTAAGTTGCCTATCCCTTTTTCGCGCGCTCTTTCGTCACATTTTAATAAAACAATTGTTTGTTAGTAGATTTTTTCAGTAATAGGTTACCGTTATTGTATCAAAAATGGTATTTGCTTTGCATGTATCTTTACACTGTTCAGTAGTCCTATTATTATATTGCCATATATATATATATACATATATAAATTTACATAATTTTTTTATTATTATTAGTCCGTGTAGTGACGGATTAAGAATACGGAATGTCATTACCCCAATTCATCCCGTAGGTGTCAAACTACGCAGGACACCAGCACTGCAAAAAGAAGGAAAACTTGTCACAAACCCTATACCAACCCGTCTGGCCAGTGTGATGTAGTAGGCCAAAACCTCCTTTCTAAGGAGAGGCCTATGTTCAGCAGTGGACTATTAAAGGCTGTTGATGTGATGTGACATAATTTTGCATTTTACATAATCCTTAGTAGATGTTTTTGTATTAGACCTACACAATTACTAATTATAAAGTATGTTGTGAAGCTGTTCCAATAAACCACTTTATGATATTTTGTGGTAAATATTTTCTGTAATGATTATATTTTATATAGATACCTATAACTTTTAGGATTATTCTAACTTTAGTAATTCCTTAATGCCTTATATTTATAAATGTTACTATGCTGTAGGGATTGTGCTAAACAATACTGTCGAGCTCATTTATATGATAGGTGTAATCTCTACCTATTTACCATGGGAGAACCATGCATCAGTACATACTGGCTCTACCAGAGTGATACCAGAGCCTCGCAAAAAACCGGTGTTAAGCAATTCTTTTATACTTTTCACTGAGCATGAGACCTAACCTGCCCCCCTCATCTAATTTCAAGGCGACTTACATTGAGTTGAAATTTCTATTGAGGCAATTGTCTTTTACCCATAGTACAAGCCCTGCTTAGTTTAGGACTAGTAATGTTATATGAATGTAGTAGCATATTATATTATTATTTGTCTATGGGTGGCATTAGTTACATACACCGCTTGTTTGCTACATAAATTATAGTTTGCTTCAAAAGTGGAGGCTAATATAACGACAAGACACCAAAGTCACAGTATTGATACCAGTTGTCTTCTCTAATGCCTTAAATACGACATCCTGTAATCTATGGATGTTGGTATGGTGTAACGGACTACTATTCCAAAGGTTGCAGGTTCGATTCCACTCAAATCAATTTGTGTGCATGAACATTTAATGTTTGATTTGGTCTGGGTGTTTCTATGTATAATATGTATATGTATATAATTTAAAAAAAAAGTATAAATGTACCGATTATCAGTTTCCAGTGTGTATCAGTTGTCTAGTGCCCATAGTACAAGCCCTGCTTAGTTTGGGATTAGATGGTGTTGTGTGTATGTGGTACAATATTATATCCTTACATATCTTATAGTTCCTTCTGAGACACTGGAATGGTTCTCAACTTATCTTCAGAGGCGGCAGCAGTGTATTCATGTTGATGACATATCATCAAGTTGGTGTAACCTCTATGCTGGCATTCCATAAGGCGGCATTTTGTCTCTTTTATTCTTAATATTTATAAACCTCATAACTGAACATCATCAGTGTGCGTATCACCTGTATGCCGATTATCTGCAGCTGTATTTACAGCAAGGGTAGAGGATGATGACAAAGTCAACAGGGACCTAGAGGTTATACAATCCTGGTCCATGACATTTGGACTGTTAACCCAACCAAATGTCAGGCAAACATAGTAGGCAGCAAACGCATAATGTGAAGATTGGATACTACCTCTATGTCACAGATTGTCTGCAATTGGTCAGTTATTTCATTCAGCCCTGCAGTCAAAGACTAAGTAAACCTAGTACCTAGTAAAGTAAGCCTAGTTACTCATCGACTCAACCCTCAATGTGCGAGCTTAAGTTATTAGCGTTAGCCAGAAAGTAACTGGAAACCTGCAAACATTATATTGTCTAAAGTATTTCCTGCATCCTAAAACTCAAACTACACTCATGCAGTCCTTAATAATTTCAATAATTGACTATGGTGATGTATGTTATTTCTTAACTTACTTCGGTTACCTATCATCTAATCACGACAGAAATCTTCGCTCAGAAAATAACCTGCTTCTGTCCCTCCCACAATTCTGAAATTAGCTCCCGCTCGAAATCAGAATTTCCACTAACGGTTTTGTGCATAATCATCTTAATAAAATGACAGAACTGTCTAATCCATAGTACAGTTGTGTCTACTCCATGTATGAAAATGTCACTGTAGACTGATTCAGTTTGTAGTCTGATGACTCAGTGTTTCTGTGCGGATATGTAAAATAATATGTAAATTATTTATGTGGTTGCGTCATGTGTGCAGTGTGATAGTGGATATAAAATTACAATTTTAAATTTGAAAAATATCTGTTTACGTTTATTTCTCTTACAGAACTTACAGGAGAGTTCAACTATTTCCTGGTCTATCTTTAAATCTTATCATAGGTCCTAATGGGACTGGAAAATCAACATTTGTGTGCGCTATCATACTAGGGCTTTGTGGCAAACCCAGTGTAATTGGCAGATCTAAGAAAGTAAGTATAACATACAAAATATACCTATTTTCTAAGAGTATAAAATCATAGTTATGTAGTTAACTATTAGCAAAACTAAATAACTATTAAAAAAATGTAATTACGAGTATTACGACTGCCTCGGTGGTGCAGTGGTAGCATTGCGACTGCTGTACTGAGGTCTCGGGTTCGATTCCCGTCTCATACCAAATGTTTGTATGATCGGCAAATATTTGTTTCGGAGTTTGGGTATTTTTTTTATGTATAATATATATGTATTTTGAAGTATTTTATCAGTCAATCTAGCTTTAATAGTACAAACTATGCTTAGTTTGAAACTAGATGGTATTGTGTGAGATGTCCGAAAATATTAAATTATTATTACGTTGTTTGTCTCCTATACCTTAAACAAAAAAAAAATGTGTTAATCGTATTACTATTTTTCATTATAGATTTCAGACTATGTAAGAACTGGTTGCTCAAATTCAACCATAGAGATTGAGCTGTACAGAGACCGTGGACAGAGGAATGTGATCATTACAAGGAACTTCAACCTTCTTGATGTGTCCACTTGGTCCATTGATCATAAGACTGTCAGGGAGAAACAAGTTCAAGAGATTATAGCATCTATGAACATTCAGGTAAACATAAACTCAAAATATCTTTATTTCATGAAATGTTTGAAATTGTCTCTTATGTAGACTCTTAAGTCATAGATTGCTGATTTATTCCTCCGGCTGTCGCGACATTGGCACGTCCATCATTGTTTTTTTATCGAAGAGGGTGCAAACGAGCAAAAGGATCACCTGATGGAAAGCCACTACCGCCACTAATGAACGCCTGCAACTCGAGTCATAAGCGCGTTGTCGGCTTTGTTCACGCTCTTTTCTTGAAGGTCTTAAGGTAAAAAGGCTCCCCCTTATTACCGGACCGACACGACTTGATGTCTTAAAGGACGGTAACCTACTTGTGATCCTATGACAATATGACCTACGGTCAATCCCCACATGGAACAAACACTTTATAAGATCCACAAATTCTTCTGAGTCTAGGTGTTCTTTGTGTCTGTTTCATGTATGTCTGTCAGTATGTGTCAGTGTCAGTATGTCTGTCAGTCCCCGGCGACACAGGATATATTCTTAGTATGAGCGTTGTCTTAAGAAGTGACCCTTCTCCCCTTTTAATAATAATAATATAATATATTCTACCACATACACACAACGCCATCTAGTCCCAAACTAAGCAGAGCTTGTACTATGGGTACTAGACAACTGATATAAATACATATATACTTTTTTTTTGTAAATATATACATATTATACATAGAAACACCCAGACCAAATCAAACATCAAATGTTCATGCACACAAATGTTTGACTTGAGCGGGAATCGAACCCGAGACCTTTGGAATAGCAGTCCGTCACACAAACCACTACGCCATCTAGTCGTCTAGTTTTGCCTCCTTTACCATAGAGAAATGCGCATAGTTTCTGTAATTCAGTCCACCACATATCTAACTTTTATTAAAATGTGACCAAGTGCGTTGACTCTTGCAATTGATACTTATCAAGACGATAAATATGATGGTACCAATCACTTTAACCGTTTTGTCATTGCGTCATCTTTGTTGAAAAACATTTTCTAATGTCCTTTAATTCTATACTAGGTGGATAATCTATGCCAGCTTCTACCACAAGATCGTGTGCAAGACTTTACTAAAATGGACAATCATGAGATTCTAAGGAGTACATTGTCCGCAGTGGGAGGTCAGGAGAGTGTTCAAATGTTGAATGAGTTGATAGAGTGTCGGACATTACAAAGAAGAAATGTCACGACATTACAGAGTAATGCTCAGGTGATTGAAGAACAGAAAAGACTAAATGAGAGGTAAATGAAAGATTGGGAAAATAATGGACTTGAATGTTCCAGAGATATAAATATAATTATTAGAGATGGTCCGACTAGTCTGTAAAGCTGACTATCGGGACACTTCTGTAGTCAATGACTAGTAGGCGATTATTCGATAAATAATCGGTTTGTAATTCGGTTGATTTCAAACTCTAGCTAAGAAAAGTGCTGGTGTTAAAGTCGCAAATGAAAGTGGTATTTCTAATATAAATTAATTATTTGCAGATTAAAAGTAGTCATCGACGCAATGAAACAACGGAAGGAGATTGAGAAACAGATTGAGATTTGTGAGAAAAAGAAATTGTTTCTGGAATACCAAGAGCTGAGAGAAAAATATGTTGAGTACTGTAACGACAAGAAAGAAGCCGTGAAAGTAGTGAAAACACACCAACAGCAACTAGAGCCATTAAAAAGAGTTATGGATACAGCTAAAGTAGAAATTAGTAAGTTGGAAAAGGAAACATTGGATAAAGTAAGTGCTTTTAACTTTAAACTCAGATTTTAAATGTGTATTGTAAACAACACCACTGGGGTCTTTACAATTGTTTTTTGTGAACGACACCACTGCTGACTAGTGATGTATAACATGAAATAAAACAATTGGTTAAGTGTTAAATTTTAATGATAATATTGAAATTGGTTGAGTTCATTACAATTTGTATCCATTACAACAAAAAACATCGCAAATAATTTATATAACGTGATCCGGTTATTATACAATAGCTTTTTTTTCACCGTCTCTTTCTTTCACTTTATCTCCTACCTTTAAAGCAACTTCTGGAAACTTCTGGAAAAACCTTTTTTTAATGGTCATGGTCGTGATCTTATGAATGAAAAATCATTGATACTGATAAATGCCTAAGTTTTGGTGGTGTTGTTAACAAAAAAAAAAAATAGTTTTAAAAAACTAAAAAACGCGCTTTCTCTAGAAAACCAAACTAAAAAATAGAAAATATTTTTTTTGGGTGCCTGTTGTCAATAGTAAAAAGCACCCCACGCTTTTTTTCATATTTATTTCTTCTTCTTCTACTACTTCTAACAATACTAACAAATACCAACTAAACGCACTGCACCAAAGAGACAGCAAAATTTTGTAAGTTAACCAAAATAACATCGATGTATACAATTTTTTGATTTTTGTTGATTTTTCAGAAACCGGGGAAGTATACCCTTTAAAACAAAACAATAATTTTCCAAATCGGTTCAGGCGTCTTCGAGTAATCGGTGAACATCCATAAAAAGAAAAAAAAATCGACTAATAGAGAACCTGGAGGAGGTTCTCTATTAGTCGATTTTTTTTCTTTTTTGAAGTCGGTTAAAAATAGGCTACTTTTTACCGCGATAACCAACATACACGCAGGCGGAGCCGCGGGCAATAGCTAGTCTAAAAAAACTTACATGAATAGAGGCTTGATGGTAGATTTAAGATTAGCGAGGTGATCCATGGTGAATCAGGGGCTCCAACGAGGTTTGTAGATTAAACGTTGAGGGTAAGGGGTAGGTTAGGTATCGTTATCATCATCATCACATCAGTCTCAGTTCACTGCTGGACATAGGCCTCTCCCATTGCACGCCACTTAGGTCGATTTTAGGCTTCTGGCATCCATCTTCTGGTATCGTTATATTGTAATAAAAATCTATGATTTTGTCACACAAGTCATGAGGTTGTAAGAGGTCTGTAGGTGTCTTGATTTGTATTTCAATCAAGCTCGTTTTGGACCTCACAACTTTACAAAGGTCCTGGAGGAGTAAACAGCATATCTGACGCGTCGGCGTAGGGCATCATACTGAGTGAAATCCACCACTTATGAAAGTTTTTATCCTTTTTCATTTTTATTATTATTTTAGAACAGAAAAATCTACAGTTACAAAGAGTCTGCCAAGGAGATATTGACCACAATTCGTACACAAGAGTTCCATCTGAAGGAAATCGAGAGTTCATTTCAAGAGAAGATGGAGAGACATAGAAATAAAGAGAGAGAACTACAAGAGGCGAGAGCTAAACTCGATAAATTGAATATGGATAAGACCAGTTTAGTGGAGAAAGTTGGAGACGGTAATTTTATTTTTCATCGCTGTTCTTGTTCAATTTTCAATTCAAATAATTTAAGAGTAAAAATTAAGAACCTAATTATTTTTTATGAAAGAGGGGACAAACGAGCAGACGGGTCACTTGATGGAAAGCGACTACCGCCGCCCATGAAGGCCTGCAGCTCAGGAGCCACAAGCGCGTTGCGGTCTTTGAGGCAGAAGTACGCTCTTGTTGGTTGGAGCTGCCGTAACCTCACCCAGTGTGTGCAGCAACGAAAAAATTGATTTTTCTTTATGGTATAGGAGCAGACGGGGTCACCTGATGGTAAGTGACAACCGCGATGGACACATGTGACTAAAAGTCACAAGTGCCAAATTGGGTATGAGGCTTGGTGCCCGTCATTCACAGATTTTTTTATTTATGAAATATAATCCAACTATTTTTACAGGTTATGTACCTAATACAATAGTGTAGCCATTGTTAACAATATCACATCACATCAACAGCCTTTAGTAGTCCACTGCCGGATATAGGCCTCTCCTTGGAATGGAAGGTTTGGCATACTATACCACGCTGACCAGACGGGTTGGTATTGGGTTTGTGTCAAGTTTTCCTTCTCATTGCAGCACCGTAGTTTGCTCCCTTAGTCGTCTCTTCCGACACCCACGGGACGAATGGGGGTGGTGATACTCCGTATTCTTAATCCGTCACCACACAGACCATAATATGTATGTATAGTACCATTAACATTAATAATAACCTCACGCATCCCAATCCCCAAAGCAATTAAAGAATTAATTAACAGCTGTTTTCTGTAAGGCTCTGTTGTTACTCCAGTCTGTGCCGAAGCATGGGTCTACCAGACCAACAATGGTTCCGTCTCAATCTATTACAATTTTGTTCCTTGTAGAGACGAAAGTGAAGATGGAGTTGGCAGAGTTCCACAAGCACATATCTCAAACGAACGGAGCTATAGAAGTATTAAAAAAACAGAAACTGGAATTACAACATGACATTGAAATGAACATCAATCCCCACATCAGATTATGTCAGAATAGGTATTTATAATTTTTAGATCTTTTTTAATTTATAAAACTTGCTACGGGTCATCCAGTCCAGTCCTTAATAGTCCATTGCAAGAAAAATGGCTCTTTTTGGAAAGGAGGTTTTGGCCTACTATACCACGCTGGCAAGACGGGTTTAAAATAGGGTTTGTGTCAAGTTTTCCTTCTCGTTGCAGTGCTGTTGTCCTGCGTAATTTGCTCTCTTAGTCTTAGGCTCTTACGACATCCACGAGATGAAAAGGGGTTGTGACACTCTGTATTCTTAATGTCACCTCACGGACGCTGTTATGGGTACTAGTCACACTAGCCCACATTACATTTCCACTACCAAATAGCATGTGCTAAATTAATCCCAAGCATTCTTGTCTTCTATGTAATCCACAATTGAGTAATGAGCCTAGAGGCAGGTACAACTAGTTTATTTCTATTTCTGGTATCGGTAAATTATCTTTATTCGATTTTTTGGGAATTTTTAAAATAATCAGTATTCTGATATTTGAGGCGGAGACAAGTCACAGTTGACTAGTTTCGGGCCGTATATCTCATCATCATTCGTTATTGAGGGGCGAAGCTCTGTGCACCTTAGATGTACGCTTTATTTATTTAAATTCAATTCTCTAAAAAGGTTCTCTAAATTCGGCTTTGTTTTTGTCGACTTTTTGTTTGTTATATTTGAACTGACCGACTCCGCCCGCGTTGATGTCGGTTATCGCGGTACAAAGTTGGTGAAAGAATTTTTTAAATCGGTTTAATGGTTTAGGCGTGAAAGCGTAACAAACAAAAAAACAAACTCACTTTTATATTTCTAATATAAGTATGGAAGTATGGGTTTGTAAAATTCTTTTTGTATTTGAGAGGATATATCACTTATTTGTTTCATTCAAATTTAAAAAGAAATCAACCCTTAAAAGTGTAAATGAAAGAATGAAGGATACAGTTTAATACTATTCATCATAATAGAGACAGATCCTTTTTTAAAGTGAACTATTTAAATTTGCAGGATACGTAACTTAGAGGATGTGAATATCAAGCGCTTGGAGACGTTGCGCGCGTACAGCGAGGACTGCTACAACGCGGTGCTGTGGCTCAGGGAGAACAGGCACCTGTTCCAACACGACGTGCACGAACCCATGATGTTAGAAGTGAGTACTTATCGACCTAAATAAATAAATACATACTGAAGTGGTTATGGTAATAAACGTCCAACAATGTAACTACACTATTATTGATTTTAGCACTGAATTTTTTATGGTATAGAGGGCAATCGAACAGACGGATCAACTGAAAATAAGTGACTATCGCCGCCGATGGACACCTGCTGCTCAATAGTCTCAAGACCTTTGATACCTTCGCCCCAGAGTCAGGGGAGGGGGAACCACGCTCACTCGGTGAAAAGCAACTAAAAAAATTGCCTTACACCAGTTAACGAACGTGGACGATACTTGTAGATCAACAGATTGCCATCATCTCTCACATTGCGCGTGCACTGCTTTTATTAAACCTGTCAAACATCTTTTTTGTCCGTACAGAGACGACTCCCGCGACACAGGATATATTATCCTGTGTCGCGAGGGACTTTACAAACATACATGAAACGGACACAAATAACACTCAGACTCAGAACAACAATTTGTAGATCACTCAAAGTGTTGTTTCAACTTGGTATCTTTTTTAGTGTAGAAACACCTAGAGTAAATTGCGGTGGGGCGATGTGTCGGAATCGAACCGACTAAAACCACACGATGTGCGACTTTTTTTTCAATTTACAACTCCGGAACAACTGAATAAATTCTGTGTCAACGGGGGACTTTACAAACTAACATGAAACAAACACAAAGAACTCAAAGACTCAAAACAACAATTTGTGATTTACAAAAAGGGTTGTCCCATCTGGGGATCGAACGCACAACCTTCAGCGCAGTAGGAAGCAGCGAGGTGACTGCTTAAACCACTACGCCATTAGTGCAGTCTGCCTTCACTTACTTACAGGCTCGTGTCGATCATATCATACCTGCGACCTTGGCCAGGCCTGATATTACACAAATCTGGTTTATAAATCTTTTTATTATAATATTATTTCAGATCAATTTCACCGATCCGAAGTTCGCTCGCTATTTAGAGTCCACTGTCGCCGGTAGAGACCTCGTCGCTTTCACCTTCGAATCCAGTCAGGACATGAATTTATTCCTTCAAAAAGTAAGACAGGAGAAGGGTCTGAAGAGAGTGAACGCATTGTGTAGCCAAGGAGGGTCTTTCGAGTTACCGGAAAGAAATATACAGCAGTTGAGGTAAGACTAATAATAAATGATTATCTTATAGCTAAGTAGGATCACACGAGCGTGTTCTATTCCCCGTACTCTACTGTAGTATCACTGAACTATAGATCGACGATCACCGTTAAAAACTCTCTCATTTGATGTGATCACGCGCATCGAATACTGTAAGTGATTATAATAATTAGTATTGTGGTGTACAATCAATATGAAACTTTATTCTCTTGGTGCGAGAGTCAATATTTGCTTTTCTTTAGATCGCCATTGCTTATGTTTTGATGTGCAAAAGATTATTAAAGTTAAAATTAAAGGATACCTTGGTACAGCTTGTAGAGTAAAATACTTAACTGGTATATTCCTAACAATCAACATTTAAGAATCTCACTTTATTAAACTTATTTGAAACCTCATCCTTAAAATACGCTTTCAAAAGGAGAGGCCTATGGCCAGTACTGGACTGCGATATGCTGATATATTTTTGTACCGTTCCATGATATATAATTAAGTATCATACGTTAATTATCTATCACTTAAAAGTTTTACATACCTTTCACGTAGACACGTAGTTCAAATTTATTATTATACTATCTGCGCTCCGCGTTGCTATCCGCGGTTGTTGTTGTACCTTGGTCATTCCACGGGAACAAAAAAAAATCGGGATAAAAAATAGACAAACTTGTGCCTTTATAATATTGTCACGAAAAATCACGCACATTCCTGAAAAATATTTTAACCGCACCATACCGGGCATCGTTTTATTAATAATACAGGTTGACACGGAATAATGCGTTTTATAGTAACACTTATAAGATCTAAAATAGATTATCGCGCGATTAGCTTCTTTACATTTGAAACGAATTTGAATTTCTCAGAGGCGGACAGTTCTCGTAGGGATAGGAGTCTGCTAGAATGTTCCTTTACAAGTTGTATAAATACTGGCTGTCTTCGTCGATGAGTTTTAGTTCAGTTCGAGCTACAGTGCGATATACATCGAAGCGATTGCAGGGAATAGAAGTGTGACCCAGGGATCTCGACGATCACGTTTTTAAGAGTAGTGATAATATAAGTCTCTATAGTCGTGAGAAGTTTTATTATTCCAAATCAACGAACCCTAATACGTAACAATATTAGTACGATAATTTAATGTGATTCTCTTTTTCTTTGTTATTTATGTTTATGTTGATGGTTCTGTTCCAGCTACCTAGGCTTCTACACGTACCTGGTGGACACGATATCGGCTCCGGACGCGATAGTGCGGTACTTGTGCAAGACATACAAAATACACGCCATCCCCATCGGCAACGACCACACGTACAACAACAGCGGGAACGTGCCGGCTAATATCACATTGTTTTTTACTGGTAAGTAATAATACACAATGGACTAACGACTTGAGGAAAATGGCTGGCTGTAGATAGATGCGGACTGCCCAATACCAGTATGGTTGGCGCTCTTTGGGGGAGGTCTTCGTTCAGTAATGGTGTGGTTCAGTAAGTAGTAATATTATTAGCATGGGAGAGACATTCTTCTTCGTATATAGGTCAGCTCGATACCAGAGAGATACTATGACCTCGCTGAAAACTGGTGCTAAAAAAAAATCTCATGAGTTACTTTCATTGGGTGAGTAAGGTCATTGGAGAACAGAACCTCTTCTGAGGGTGGGAAGAGGGTGCTGAGGCTTAAGTTGCTGCAACATACTTGTCAGGCTTGAGGTGAAGTGTCCATGGCAGTTTAGACAGTTACTATACAGGGTGTAAGGGACGGTGTAACGAATACTGAAATAGTGTATCCAGACCATCATTCTGACTTGAAAATCATTGGAATTTTCTGCCGGCAAATTAAACATTTTATGCAAAATCAGCTGTCAAACGTTAAGGTCATTCCCCGTAGGTATTGCACAAAAATAATAACTTCATTTGTATTCCGTGCAAACAGTCTACGCACACTAACACAAGTTGATATGCGGTACTTATGTTTACCTATTGTGATATCATTTTTAACCAAAAAAAAATATGAAAAAATTGCAGAAAATTCCAAAGAATAATAACTCTGAATACACTATTTTAATATTCGTTACATCGCCCCTTACCCCTGTATATTCGAGTACCTACGCTGTTGTTTTGAACAGTGTAAATGATTTAAATGAATGTGTGATTTTCATAGTTAATTCAAAGGTTATTAATAAAACGCAAATTTAAAAGTAAGTACAGTCGTCATTAATTTGGTATGTTTCAGAGAACCACCGGTTCCAAGTGCGCGTGTCGGCCTACAGCGGCGAGAAGTCCAGCTCCACGATAGAGATCAGACAGCCCAAGTTGATGGCCAACACTGTAGATGCTGAACAAGTCGACAAGCTCAAAGCTGAGTAAGTTTCATTCAATAACCATTCTTATGAACAAGTATAGTCGTAAGTTTGGTGTTAAAAGTCTTCAAACTACCTGATCTATTGTTCATTTGGATCTATTTCTCTTGGTCTGTATGTGAGTTCTTTATTCCGCCATATCTTGTTAATGCCTGAACAGTTTTGGATGAATGAGGTAGAATTCTTATATCGCGATAAAGTCCCGAAGAAAAAATTAGTTGTTAAACGCTTTACTTACAAAAGATACAGATACATGGTAGCTAACCAATCAAATTACCCCGTATGCCATGCCCTGTATACCCGTTTGTTGTTTTTCTCTTATTAGCAAGTGCTGCAGGCTGGAACTAATATTATAAAGCTGAGTTTTCTTTATTAACCCTTTCCTTCCTTACGGTACTTAGAAGTACCGCCACATTTTTTGTCTAATAACTTAGTACGAAAACATTTTACGTTAACTACAACTGACGATCCTTTAGAGTACCGTATCCGTAAGCCAATCACAGCGCGTTATTTGAATTACCGCGTAAAGTTGCCGAATAATTTGAACAACAAGTTACAAACTGTCAAACATTTTGTCACTTCGCTGTGCGGTGTAATTGAAAAAGTTTTATAAATAGAATATTATAGGTAAGTGCATTTTTTTTTACTATTTACGTGGTTTATATCATTGACTACATTTCCAAAAACTGTTACAACGTATTATCACTTTATTTTATATGAATATTTGATAAAAACTGATGCGGACTTAAAAGTACCGTCAGGTGATTTTAGTCTCAAAAATTATGGGTTTTTATAATACACATACTCGATGAAGAAGGTATTTTGTTTTATCATAAACGTATGTTTTTTTATTTTTATTATTGTTTGAATCTATTTTCTTATTGTTTTAGGCATTAAAATGGATATTAAAAACAATACTGCTCTGCTTGAAGCCCTATTATTAGAAGAGCTTCCGGACTGCGACGAAGAGTCTGATGCAGGTGTATCCGATGATGAAGTGGAAAATCTTCAACTACCCTCAACAAGAGGCTTCGATGAGGTTTTCGAAAGAGCTCTAGACAGTGTTTTAGCCGAAGTTCCGCCATCGTCGCCGTCAAATGAAGATGTATTGCAGTGCCCTATAAATCAGGTACCTACATCTCCAATACCTGGATCTAGTGTTCAGACTGATCTACCGTCTGCAAATACGTCTTCTTACAAAACTAACCAACAATTACCCGAACCAAACCGTAAATGGAAAAAGAGGGACCTAGATACAATTTTACCGGCATACATTGCAGATATCGGAGTAGTAAATGACTGTTTTGCTCATTGTAACACACCGACTGATATATTTTTAGTATTGATTGGAGATATTATTGACAATATTGTATACCAAAGTAACCTTTATGCTATTCAGAAAGGCAAGGTATTGAACCTAAAAAAGGAGGAACTCCTAACATTTATAGGTATGAATTTTTTTATGGGTTACAATACTCGTCCGGCGTGGAGAGACCATTACTCTTCGGCACCTGATCTCAACAATGCACTTATTTGCAAAACAATGCCAAGAGACAGATTTGCTATTATTTTATCTCATCTGCATTGCAATGATAACTCCCAAATGCCCAGAGAGTGCAAAGATAAGTTATATAAAATTAGACCGATGATTAATGCTCTCAATAAAAAATTTCAAGAGGTTTATCATGGTACTCGTGAACTGAGTGTAGATGAGTCGATGATTAAATTTAAAGGTAGGTCTGTCTTGAAACAATATCTACCTATGAAGCCCATAAAGAGGGGGTACAAGTTGTGGTGTCTTGCTGACCAGAGGGGCTATATAAAGAAGTTTCAAATTTACCAAGGGAAAGACGAAGAACTGAACTCAAAATTTACCGGCTATGGCTTGGGAGAGAAAGTAGTTTTGGAGTTAACGGAACAAGACTGGGGTAAAGGGAAGGTAGTTTACTTTGATAATTTTTTCTCGTCTGTTGCTTTGCTTGAAAAACTGAAAACTGAAAACACCTACGCATGTGGAACTATCCGAAGTAATAGAAAAGGACTGCCCGGAAATATGCTCTCTGATTCTCAAATGAAAAGGGGCAACAGTGATTATCGATTTTCAAGTTTAGACATTGGATACTGGAAATGGAAGGATAACAAAGTAGTTCATTTAGTGTCTAATTTTCATGGGAACCAAGAGGCAACTGTGTCACGTAAAGAAAAAAATGGATCCAAGTCTGCCATCATATGCCCTATGGCTGTCAAAGATTACAATAGTTATATGGGCGGCGTAGATACAGCTGATCGTTTGAGAGCCCTTTACTGTATAGATCGCAAATCTCCGAAATGGTGGCACAGGTTATTTTGGGGTCTTCTGGACATCGCATTTGTCAATTCATATATCATTCATGGACTTATAATGGAGAAGACTACCGTAAAAGATTTTCGACGCTCTGTTACTCAAGGCTTGATGACAATGAAAAATGCTAGTCAGAAAAGAAAGACTTCTACTGATAATACTGCGGAAGGCGGCCCTTCAAAAAGGCGCAAATCTGACTATTCTACTATAAAAGACGTACGCTTGGGTAACAGAGGCATCCATTGGCCTACATTCGTAGAGAACAGAGGAAGGTGTGAAGTTTGTAGCTTGAATAAAATTCAGTCGAAACCTCATAGTAAATGTTCGCATTGCAACGTGTTTTTGTGTGTAAATGAAAAGAAAAATTGTTTTGTTGAATACCATGAGGTTAATCTGTAATTAAAAACCTATTAATTTAATTATTACTCAGTCAATATTGATCTCATTATTTTGTAGTTTCTATCAAAGTTCCTAACATTGTGATAACACGAAGTTCCTGACGGTACTTTTAAGTCTAGGTCTTGGAAATAGTACTTCTAGATATAATAAAAATCTAAAAAAAAACTGTGCGTTTCCTTTTACCTACCTTATTATGAAAATAAAGTTCAAAAGCGGAAATTCGTTAAAAATCAATACCCCGGGGGAAAGGGTTAATGTTATAAAGGTTTGTTGTTTAATTTTAGTTTATTAATTTAGTTGAATGCGCTAATCTCGGCCACTACTTATTCGTATTGGCAAAATATTTTAGTGTTAGGTAGCCCATTTATAGAAGAAGGCCATAGTCTATATAACATGACCAATAGGAGCCGACCAGCCATGAAAGATGGTGCCCGTGCTCGTAGATAATATAATTATTTTAAAAGTACCCACATAATGACACATGTATTTTTAATGTATGGTGTTAATTTTTATCAACTTCGCTTGATGTACCATCTGTTGCATTTTTACAAACCTCAGTTTTTTTTTCAAATGGAATATTATAATCAATAATTCTAAATTGCTTTGTAATAAGTTAAATAAGTAAAAAATAAATAAAAAAATGATACGACCTTCAAACCTTAGAGAAAAGATCGTACTCCTTCTTAAAAGGCCGGCAACGCGTTTGTGACTTTTGAGTTGCAGACGTTCATGAGCGGCGATAGTCACTTTCCTTCGGGTGACCCGTCTGCTCGTCTGCCCCTCAAAATGTATTCCTTTAGAGAGGGAAACGAAGTTGCGCGGATCAGCTAGTAATATATACAGCCTATAGCCTATCCCTGCACACATATAGTTAAGCGAGTAAAGAAAGTAAAAATAAATAATAATGAAAATGTTTCTTTAAGGAAAATGAAGTATGAGAGAGCTGCCCAAAATAAGACAAGCAAGATGAACGATCTTGATTCTAAACTTTCAAGGCTGGAGAGCAATCTCAATGAGCTTAATATGCAAAGGAAAGGCATTAGCGAAGGAGTAGAGAAGGTAAGATCCACTCTTTTTAACTCGCTTTTATTAGATTGGTATGTATGTTAATTAAGAATACGGAGTATATCCACCCCTATTCATCCAATGGGTGTCATAAGAGACGACTAAGTGAGCAAACTACCAGGACAACATTCACTGCAAAGAGAATAAAAACTTGCACCAAAACCTATACTAAACCTGTCTGATCAGCGTGGTATAGTAGGCCGAAACCTCCTTTCTAAGGAGAGGCCTATGTCCAGCAGTGGTCTATTAAAGGCTGTTGATGTGATGTATGCATCTATGTAACAGAATCTTTGAACGTGATTTTCACTCACTTTAAAATGTCGGATTGAATTCAAACTACTTTGATTATCCTGATGAGGATCTTCAGGATTAAGGGCTTTCGCCATACCTAAAAATGCGGTAGTGTCTTACCGTGTACTAAGGCATGTGGTCAAGCTTATGTTACTTTTTTAGTTTCGCCTAGGATCGAACCAAGTGGCGTGCAATTGCAGAGGCCTATTTCCAGCAGTGGACTGCTATAGGCTGATGATGATGAATGTTGTGTTTTGTAATGAACGTATCAACGGGATGTTAAATGGATGAATTCACATAGATGAATGAATGGAACACGTCCATAAATTAAGTCATACAGATTTTATGATTTTTTGACTCGTCCTTGTTATATTTTTGGGACCATGGTATAACACTTCATGTTTTGCAATTTTAAATTGAGTAATTTTTTTTATTTGTTTATAAAATAGGCAAAGTAGAAAGTTAAAGAAAAAACGAATCAAACAGCTACAATGATAGTTGTTGTGGTGACCCTTGGAGGAGGCCTGTGTCTAGCAATGGACGTCTTTTGGCTAAGAACGAAATGGTAGTAGAACGCACATAAGCCATTTGTTGTGAGCATATGTCACCTTTTCATGACTTGTTAACTGGTAATGTAATTTATGAATAACACCCCTCACAGGAAATTACATTTCAGTGCCATCTAGTCACGACATACTGAACTACGTTGTAACTGTTACAGCTCTATCGCGCAATAAAAATTCTCACACTTAAATGTACAATAAAATAAAATTCAACCAACATCAATTACGAAACGGCAGCATGTTTTTTTTTAATATCTGGTTCTCTGCCAACATAATCGGAGACCTTAAGTGAATGATAGATAATGATTACACAACTCTTATGTTACTGTATGGTCTATACATTTGTGGCTGGTTGGGAAGATGTTTACCTTCTACTTAGACTACATTACAAATTTACTACTATTATATTAGCTACTACATTATATACTATAGTACTTAGCTACTATGTTTGCTAACTAATTTGGCACTACAGTTTCACTATCTTGATTTCTATTAACTAATTAATTATGGCTTACTATTCATCTTACTTACTATTTATACACTAATTTTTTCTATGCCTATTTGTATATTATACATAATATAAATTAAGCATAATTCTAATATATTTTTTTTATATACATTTTATACCTAGAGAAAACATATTCAGCACTGACGTTGACCAGCTCACACTTCAATTGGCTTACTTTCAAAAGAAAGCAAGACCAATTCGTTGGGATTATGTTTCAACTGTTTGTTTATATTTCTTGTGCCTGTGTCCTTTACGCCGGGGCGGCCCTCGCAAGCGCGTCCCACTTCTTCCGGACGGGGCACTGGTCACTATTTACGCCGTGAGCGGTATCGCCTTGCTTCGTCTTTAGGCAGTTTCTGCAGGTCGGGGCTTGTGCTGCCAAAAACTGCTCACATTCCGCTTTTTTTGTGGGGGCCTCCACGATGGTTACACAGATCCACGGTCTCCGTGCATAGTTTGCGTCCGTGCCCATAGGCGAGGCACCTAGTGCACTGCACTAGCGGTGTTCGGTCCTCGACCCGGACGGGCTGCAGGTCGATGTATACCCGCCGACCGACACCAGCCTTTGGTATAGCGCGGGCGATATGTGGCTCTCGTGCTGGTCACGAGCCCTGCGCCTGTAGATGACTTCGGCTTTGCCGATGTCGGTCGCCAGGTCCCCCGATGCCTTTTCATTTTGCTTTAAGATGGCGGCTTTCACTTCCTCGTTGGTGTTGAATGATAGTACGTTTTTGAGGACCACCAACGAGCTCTTGTTTTTTGCCTCCTCATAGGCAATGTTTGCGCTCTTCTTTAGATGCTCCTCAACCCTGTCCAGCTCCGTTTCGGTGGAGCAACTGAGGATGACCTTCCCGTCACGAATCTTCCTCGGTTTCTCCACCCGAACACCGCTCTTTTTGGCGTCCAGCGCCCCCCTGATATGTTGGACCACCTCGCCGAGGTGTCCATTTTGTCCGTGGAGGAGATTATGAGGGAGTGCGTCGGCTTGTGCTGCTGCTGCTTTAATTTTATTATATTTCCTAGGTGCGAACCATATCAGCTCAAATCCGAATCCAAGCAAAGAAAGTCCAAGATATCGAAAATGAGCCGACGTTCGATATACAGCAGGCAAAAGAGACGAGCAAGAGAAAACAGAAGGAGTGCGTCACGAAACAGTGCAAGTTGCAGGTGGAACTGAAAGGGATCATCGGTGACCTGCACTCGGAGATACTTAATGGGGATGTTCTGAAGGTGATAATGTAAAACCTTACACATCTCACACGGCAGTCTGATCTCAAACTAGACTGAGCCTGTACTGTGGTAACCAGACTGCTGATAAACATACTTATATATTTCTAAATAAAATTATAGGTTACGCTGCTCTTTATTCGTTTCGTTCGTTCGTTTTACTGGACTAACCTTTTGCTAAAGATTTTGCCCGCGACTCCGCCCGCGTGTATCACATCGGCTTTTTACCGCAATAACCGACAAAAAGCCGATGTCCTTTCTCTAGAATTTTCAGATTTTTCAGAATTTCATTTAAATCGGTTCACCGGTTATTGATTCCCCGTACAAACTTATATGATAAACTCCTATGTCCTTTCCCGAGACTCAAACTATCTCTATACCAAATTTCATCAAAATCGGTTCAGTGGTTTAAGCCTGAAGAGGTGAGGTAGACAGACAGACACTTTTGGAATCATAATACAATATTAGTATGGATATGTATGTATTTAGAAATATATAAGTTTGTTTATTAGCAGTTTGATTAACATAGTAAGTACAGGTTATGTCTAGTTTGCCATCAAGCCATAGGTAAGGTGTTATTATTATCATTAAAATAAATAATCCTTCCTTCATCTTTCCATTCCATTTCCTTTGCAGTTGAAATTGAACTTGAGCAGGAACTCCATAGTGGAGCAGGAGACACAACTGCGGGAGCTCACGAGTGATCTGAAGAGAGTAGAGGTACAAACTTTTATTTATTTATTATATTTTTATACTTTATGGTGTTACTATAGAGGCTCTTGGCTAAGTGGTAATCGAGTAGGTTAACATATTGCAAAGTTAAGCAACCCCAGCGAGGTCAGTCTTTGGATGGGTGACCATTCTTACACACAGCGAACGAAATACCAATCAGAAATACGAAGTATCTGTTCTTTAAATTCCCTGTTGCCACAGAACTTGAAACTAATAACGCAGAATGGTTTTGAAACAATAATAATTTAAAAATGCAAAAGAAAAAAACAAGTTATTTCCAATTTAAACACGTAAACGTATAATAATGTATGTACTGATATGGTCAACACATGTACACCTGATCAGGTATTTCGTGGCGGTTTGTATTTTACAATGTAAAAAATTAAACGACATCAAATGCCATATAAATGTCTGGTATAGTTACCAAATTCAATGATTTTTCTTAGGCGACATTACAAAACATAGAAGCCCTGCTCGTTCGAGCTAAATCGGCCGCTAAGGAGAAACTCATAGAAGCGAAGAGAAGTTCAGACAACAAGCTGCCGGGCGAGGAGGGCTTCCCCTACAGCGAGCAGTTCGAGCTGCTGCCCAACGACGTCACCGCCCTGCAGGAGCGCTGCTACGAGCTGCAGACCAGCATCGACTGCATGGACCACGGGGACGACAATGTAACGTCATATAGATACTACTTCACTGCACGGATGGCCTAGTGGACTGCATGAAGCGATCACTTGGCCGCTTCTTACTGAGTGTTGTGGGTTCGAAACACTTAGTGTGATTCACATTTTTGTGCTGAGTGTTCTTTGTGTCCGTTTCATGTATGTTTGTAAAGTCGCCCGCGACATAGAATATATTCCTAGTTAGGAGTTGTAAAAAAAGATAAAAAGATGCAAGTTCCAAAGATTTCGACTAATAAAATCCTGGCTGTATCGTAGTAGTAGTATAATGTATTAAAGCCATCAAAACAAATTATATGACTCGAAATTTGATAGGATCTTTAAATAGCATAGCAACAAAATCCGAATATATAAAATTCTACTCGATACCTTAACAAATAAAAAAAAGTTATTTTGTAACACGCATTAACTTAAAGAAGTCTGAAAAGATACTAAGATACCCTAGTATACCCTATTTTTTTATTCTGAAAGGACATTCCGACATTTCTCTTCGTCTTGAAGGCAAAGTGGGAGTGAGGCCTTCTTTGGTACATATCGGATTTCCTCAAAGTGTTGTTTTAAACTAAACATTGCTTGTACTATGAAAGATTGACTTATAGAATACTTTTTTTTTTTTGCAAATATTGCATAGCAAACACTCAAACTCCGAAGCAAACATTTGCAGATCATACAAACATTAGGTCCGACCCAGGAATTAAACTAGACCTCAGCACAGCAGTGACATCCGTTGCCAATATAATTAAGCCGAGATAATTAAAAAAAAACGTAATGTCAAATATTTGAGTATTAATTTTGTTCTTCAATTATGAAGGTTATCAAAGAGTACGAAGATCGAGAGAGGGATATCAACAGGTTGCAGACCGAAGTCGAAACGTCCAGCGACCGAAACAAGCTCCTCGAGACTCAGATGGAGAATATCAAGTAAGATGTCATTTATCATGTTACAGTTGTTGCAGATCACGAATGTGCACAACTTTTAGTTGTATATGTGTGTGTGAGTGTCTGTGTGTGTGTGTGTGTGTACGTGTGGGAGAATGTAAATGTGTGTGTGATCAAGATTTCAACGCTTTTCAAAAATCTTGACAGAAGTTGGATTTTCTTTTATTCAATTAATTTATATGTAAATGTGAAAGTGAGTTTTTTTCTGGCCCTAAATTAAAATGAGTTAATTCATTTAAATAAAATCTTAAACAATATTTTTATATAAAATTGTAAAAAATTACCCCTAGATCACGTTGGTTGCCGCCCTTAGAGGCGTTGTTGCGCGACATCGACAAGAGCTTCGGGGACATGTTCGCCAAGGTGGGGTGCGCTGGTGAGATCAAACTTGAAAAAGGCGGTAGCGAGGTAAGACCCAGTCTTTATGTTTAGTACTACATGACCCGGTGAAATTTGCTATTTATTTTGTTTAAGAAAAACCAACAGCTATGAGTCACCATTATAGGCAAAACTATAAGTAACAGAAAGCCAAGCCAGGTTTTCACGGGTAAGATAGCATTATCGATATAACGTCAAGAACACTCAATGCACGACCTTGGTATACAAATATAATTACTACGGTTCGTTTGAATAAGCTAATCTCCAAAGAAATTGTGATTTAGCACTTTAGTGGCCGTGTCACTTTTTATGGTGTAAGGATCCAAATATTATATATAATATAATATTTGTATATATAATAGATATTATTTGCATAATATGTTGAAATCTCTACTGGCTCGCATCATATAAGAATTCTTTCTTTAATTTGAAAATCATTGGGGGATTGAAATTGGAGGGAATTATGCCTAACATATCTGGAGGGAACGTTAACGTTTAAGCTTGTGTAATAGTTCTGGGCGGTCAATTTCGTTAGAAATTATTTTGGCGAATAATATACAATCAGCTAACCGACGACGGTAAGTTAAAGACTGAATATGAAATTTCTTGCACATTTGTATATATTTTTCAGAAGTGTAGGGTATTAGAAGGCGATTACATAAAAATCTTAAAAACCGTTTTTGGACATTTTCAATGCGGCTTATGTACTTGTCATAGCAAGGGTTCCATATTTGCGAAGCATATTCGAGATGGCTCCTGACAGAAGTACGGTACAAGGTGTTCAGCGTTTTAGCTTTTTTGAAGCATCTGGAGAGTCTCATCACGAAACCAAGAGCCTTAGAAGCCTTTGCGACAATCTCATCGACATGGACATAAAAAAATAGGTTTGGAGTCATGGTGGACGCCTACATCACGTTTATCCAGTACTTGTCCTTTGAGCTCGTACGACGATGGGACAGTGTCACGTTTTCTACTGTAAGAAACTACATATACGAGGGGTGATCAATAAGTAATGATAATCAATATGAAACAGAACTATTAGATTAAAAAAAGTATTTTATTTTTCAACATAGTCTCCTTGCAAGTTGTCAATTTGTGTATGTTCTTCTGGTGAAATATTTAGGTCGGTAGGGCTTTCTTCAATGAATTCCTTTATTCTAATATATTATATAAATGCGTATATTTAAGGTAAGTAGTACAGACAAAATTCATATGGTAAGTGTCCTCGTTACAAGTGTGATCTATATATATAAGCGATCGTTGACATTTTCAAAAAGTAACGAACCAAATACAATCAAAAGAGCGTTACTTCCTGTTTAAACTTCAATCCCCTCAGTTCCTTTCCAAGGTCCTAGATGGCGCTAGACGTTCTTAACATGCCCCCGGCCTTGGAAGCACCTGGTTCCAAAGGGGTCGATGAGTCGCAGGTGTGTTTTTCGTCAGGACTCAGCAGTGGACAGATTTTTGCGAATGATCTACGGATTACGCCCGCCGCTGTTTTGATGTTGGCGACGCGTGAGATTCCATCCTTTCCAGTGAAAGTCTCCAGCACCCGTCCCAGCCGCCACTTCAAGGGAGGCAGATTGTCTTCCTTAATCAGAACAAGAGCATTAGAGGCGATGTTGTCCTGATTGGTTTGCCACTTCGTTCTCTTCTGAAGTTCAGTAATTACTCCTTGGACCACCTCTTCCAAAAATGCTGTCGCATCTGCTCCACACGATCATAGCGAGGAAGGCGTTGTGCAGCTGTCGCCGTGAGGTCTTGGCTGGCTGGTGCAGTGAGCGGACGGCCTATCAGGAAATGAGCAGGGCAGAGAGGAAGGAAATCATTAGGGTCTGTGGACATTGGTGTCATTGGTCGGGAGTTGAGGACAGCTTCAATTTGTGCTAACATCGTACTCAACTCCTCGTAAGTAAGGTGTGCATTGCCTACAACACGATGCAAGTGAAATTTGCAAGACTTAACTCCCGCCTCCCACAAACCACCAAAGTGAGGCGAGTAAGGCGGAATAAATGAAAACTTTATTGAATTATTAGCTGTAAACTCCTTAATATCTGATTCATTTTCAACTAAAAAATTAGAAAAAATTACCTTAAAGCACCTACGAATGTTTTCCCATTATCAGAATAAATTTGTAAGGGTTTACCACGTCTAGAGATGAATCTCTTCAAGGCCAATAAATATGCTTGTGTAGTTAGACTTGTGACCAACTCTAAATGTACAGCGCGCGTTGTGAAACAGACAAAAAGACAAACATAACATTTATATAACTTTGCCCCTCTTCCGGTACGGTTTAATATAAGCAATGGCCCAGCATAGTCCACGCCACATCGAATGAAAGGATATCCAGGCTCCAGTCGTTCCGGAGGTAAGTTACCCATTTGAATACTTAAAGGTTTAGCTTTCATACGTACGCATTTCACACAGGCGTGCACTGTTTGTTTTGCCAAATTACGCCCTCTCAGGGGCCACCAAGTATCCCTAATTGTAGCTAATAACAACTGAGGTCCTGCATGCAATAAAGCTTTATGTTTATATTGAAAGAGAAGCCGTGTAAATATATGCCTAGCACACAACAGCACGGGATGCTTTTTATTATATGGAAGGGACTCAGAACGCGTTAGTCGGCCCCCCACTCGAATCAAACCGTGTTCATCTAAAAATATATTCAAACTTGAAATTTCACGATTAAATTTTAAAGGTTTATCATACTTTAATTTATCATAAATTTCTGAAAAGGACTGTTGTTGTGCAATTTTTGATAAAAATCTAGTCGAATAATCCAATTCATCAACCAAAAGACAACCATTAAGGCGCTGTGACTTTATCCGTGTGCGACAATTTTTAATAAAGCGCATAATGTACGCTGTCACACGCCGCATACGGTTAAAACATGAAAAGAGTTCAAATGGAAAGGAAATTGGATTAATTTGACTAGTTAAAACTGTCTTAACGGATTTTAGTTCAGGTAATTCTTCATAGTTAATGTCAAATTCATTACCATTACGTACCCATTCTACGTCGGGAAGACGTAAAAATGGAGGGCCGTGCCACCACATATCACACGACGTAAGCATATCTAAGTGAACACCGCGCGATAACAAGTCAGCCGGGTTTTGTTTACCAGCGACGTGAGACCACGGTTTGTCACCTGTAAGTTCATTTATTTCAACTATGCGATTTTGAACAAATGGTTTTAATAAACTAGGTGACATCTTGACCCAACCTAACACTATAGTCGAGTCTGACCAGAAATACACCTTGTCGAGCCTTAATCTTAATGAATTGATAATTTTTGCATATAATCTTGCAGCCCATACAGCGCCGCATAGTTCTAAGCGCGGTATGCTAACCGGTTTCACGTGAGCGACTTTACTCTTCGCACACAACAAATTTACTGTTATCAGTATATCTGTATAACTACGCAGATACGCACAAGCGCCGTAGGCACCTTGTGAGGCGTCACAAAAAATGTGTAATTCGCGTGTCTGAGTATCCTCACCTATAACGTAACGTGGAACGCGTAAAATATGTAAATAGTTTAATTTTTCAATAAATAAATTCCAATCTGATAAGATTGATTTAGGAACAGGATCATCCCAACCTATTTTAGATAACCATAATTTTTGTAGAATGATTTTAGCGATAATAATAGTTGGGGTAAGCAGACCCAACGGATCGTATATTTGTGCAATAATTGAAAGAATATTACGTTTAGTTACATTAATTCGACTATGATTACATCTAGAACTAAAATGTAATTCATCTGACATGTAAAACCACCCTAATCCTAGGGTTTTAGTGTGGCAGTTATCATCTAACGACAATTCCTTTGATGGATGTAGCGAGTTTGTTTGTGAGGTCGGAAAATTGAATAACCATTTCCTCAAAGGAAAGCAACCAGATCTTAATACATTCGACACTTTGCTGCATATATCCATCAAAGTCTGTTTGTCATCATGGCCTGTAATAAGGTCATCAACAAAAAATCATTATTAATAACCTGAGCGATGACGTCATCATTACATCCAATGCAAGTTGCTTTAAACATCGACCACTCAAATAAGGCGCGGATGCCGTCCCATACGTCACTGTATTAAGTTGGTACATACCGAGGGGTTCAGATGGGTTCTCCCTCCAAAGAATTAATTGTAAATTTCTCTGATCGGACTGAACTTCAATCTGACGAAAAAACTTCTCGATATCCGCGCTTGCGACATATTTAAATTGTCGAAATCGAAGCAAAATAGAAAAGATATCATTCTGTAAAGCAGGTCCGACATGCTGTATATCATTCAACGATTCGCCCGACGGAGATTTAACACTCGCATCAAAAACGACCCTAAGTTTAGTGGTCGAGCTATGTTCTTTGTAAACGCCATGATGTGGTATGAAATAGCACGGGAATGAATAGTTATTAATGCGACTCATATGACCTAATTTTAAATACTCTCTCATAAAATCTATATACATTTGTCTATAGGACGGTGCGCAACGAAGAAGTTTACTCTCAAGCGCATAAAACCTGTTCTCGGCTATCGTAAACGTATCGTGAAGCGCATCAGCTGATTTACACAACGGAATACGTACAGAAAAACGGCCTTTATTGTCGCGCAAAGTAGTATGTTTAAATAAATTTTCGCATGCACGTTCACCTTTAGTGAGGTGTTGATAATTTGAACTTATCTCTTCTAGCTCCCAAAATCGTTTGATTTCTTTATCTAATTGTAAAGTATGAGTAAAGTTACATTGAATTTGTTTTACATGCAAAGCCCTTCTCTGCACCGATCCCGATATTATCCAACCTAATTGTGTGTTTTGTAAGTAAGGGCCGTTAGGTAAGCGAATTAAACCCTCACTTAGCAATTCCCAGAACTTATCTGCGCCTATTAATAAGTGTATTTCGTTAGGTAAATAAAATTCTGGGTCTGCGAGGTTTATATTGTCGGGTATTTCTAATTTGTGATTAACACCCAATGAAGGTAACTGCGATGTAATGCGTGATAAAACAAGACAGTTAAAGCGTGTGT